TTGGGACTATTGGGACAGTTCGGTTCGGTATGGTTTGGTTCGAATCTTCTGATATATATTATTTTCTTAATTTTTTTTGAATGGCTACCTAGTTATATTTTAATTTTTATATGGTTTAAAAAACAAAATTCATCAATATTTCATCATATTGAAGATTTTATTTTGAAATCAATTTTAGAAGTAACTCTAAATTTTATTTATTTAATTTTTATATTCTTTAATAAAATCAATATTCATTAATACTTCCTCATATTAAAGATTTTACTTTGAAATCAACTTTAGAAGTAACTCTAAATTTTAGTTAAAACTAAATTTGTGCAACTAATATTTAAAATTTAAAATCCAAAAAAAATATAACTTTTATTCTTAAAAAAATATTCTTTAACCTTTCGTATTATTTTAATATAATTATTTTATAATAGAAAAAATTCACTTGTAGACCAAGTATTATTAAGCATGAAATTTAAGTGAAGATAATAATTATTACTATATTATATAGGATTAAAGTTGATATAAAATATATCAATAACAAATCTAATGTTATAATTCGGTTCTTAATTTCGGTTCTTCGGTTCGGTTCGGTTCTCGGTACGGATATTTGTGAAATCTCCAGAACCGTACCAATTATCTTTTCGGTTCGGTTCGGTTCAGAGAAAGTCGAACGGTCAACAGTTATTTTTCGGTTCGGAGTGATTTCGGTTCAGTTTTCGGAACAGTTCAGAATTCTTTGAGTCTCATGCTCAGCCCTAGTACTACCTATGTAATACATGAATAGTTATTTAGAAAATATATTCATAAAAATATTTTTAAACAACAGACGTAAGTTCAAATTTTTAAACTGAAGACTTCAGGGAGTGGTCATTCGGTTTTCGATATCAGTGGAAGGTCATTGTGACCTCAGTGGTAGGTCTACTGGTGTTTGACCTCATCGAGTGGTCATTCAGTTTTCGACCTGAAGGTGGCGTTGAGTTATTTGGTTTTCGACCTCAATAGTAAGTCATGCGGTTTTCGACCTCAATGAAAGGTCATGTCTTTTAAGTGCTCATTTGGAGGTTAATCGGGGGTCACTCGGGATATTTGGTGTTCATTTGGTGGTCATCATCAGATTCATTTGATGGATATTAAAATTATTCGGAGGTCATGTAGGTCATTCGCTTTTCATTGGGTGACTATTTGGTGGTTGAAGATTTATTCAAATTATAACCTCAGTGGCAGGTTGACGGAAATAATTAGAGGACGCATTTCATTCTTGGATCGAGTTATGCTCACTCGACCAGGGTGGGGGAAACTAGATGATATATGATATTATACTAGACTGTTTTAATGGATAAGAAGAAATAAATTAGAGAATAAGCCTACACATGGGCGAGGACACATGACATAATGATATTGGCTAAGTACAACTTGGGCAATAAGGTACACTTCCTCTATAAAAGGGGGCTAAGATATCTCAAATTCTTATTCTCTCCACATTCATTACTATACTCTCATACTGTACTCTTTATCTATGGCGAGTGCTGACTTAGGCATCGGAGGCCCGATGTCGGGACCCCTCTCGGTGTTGGGTCTTGCAGGTACGGAGGCCGTCCGAAACAAAGCAGCTTGGGTGAGCCATTTCACAATCAATAAGTATGTTAATGCAACACACATGAACACAAAATAGTACACATTCATAGTGATTTTCTCAAGGACAGAAAATGTTTTGAATCAAGTGTTTTTGTAAAGTATCAACAAGCTGATCTTCAGTAGGTACATGATCTAGTACAATTGTTCCATCATCCACCAAATTCTGAATAAAATGATATCGTATGTCAATATATTTGGTTCGTGAATGCTGGACAAGATTTTTCGAAATGTTGATGCCACTTGTGTTATCACAAAAAAGTTGAGTGCCGAGTGGAATGTACTTTCATACCATACTCAGAAAGAATTTGCTTCATCCAGACTAGTTGCGAGCAACAACTCCCCGCGACAATGTACTCGACTTCCGCGGTCAAAAGCGAGACGCAATTTGCTTCTTGCAAAACCATGACACAAGATTGGACACTATGTAAAAGCATCCACTGGAGGTGCTTTTTCTAACATCAAGGTTCCCAACCCAATCAGCGTCGCAATAACCTACAAGACTCAATTTCATGTCAGCAGAATAGAATATCCCATAATCCGATGTACCTCCTACATACTTAATGATGTGCTTAACAGTTTTCAAGTGAAATTCCTTGGGATCAGACTAATTTCTAGCACAAAGACCAACACAAACAAATGTCAGGTCTACTAGAAGTGATAAAGAAGACTTCCAATCATACTACGGTAAAGAGTTTGATCAACATATGTACCTTCATCGTCCTTTGACACTTTGACATGAGTGCTCATAGGAGTATGAGGGTTTTTAACATTTTCAAGACCAAAGTTTTTAACAAGGTTTTTCGCATTTTTACTTTGATGCAAAAAGATATCATCATTACCTTGTTTTACCTGAAGTTCAAGAAAATAAAAGTTCACCCCTAAATTGCCGGGTAAAATTTCTTACACGCATCTTCTGTTGTCAGATTTTTTTTATGGCATTTTTTTCACTTAATGCAATTTGCTCAATATTTTTGCATTTTCTTGTTCTTTTTGTTTTCAATGGCAAGAACTAATAGAGGGGCCATGGTTTCATCTAGTTCAAGCAACTTATCGTCTTTACCCCTATTCTTTTTTTTTTTCAGGGTCCTGTGTGCTGGAGATTGATGTTGTTCTTCTCATGATGTTTCTTACTCGGCTGGAGACAACGTTGTATGTTGTTTATTTATTTATTTATTTATTTATTTTATGTATGTAAATTTGGTCCCTTGAATCTGTATGTTGATTGATATTCAATGGGTTGGTTTATGGGCTTGTGTTCCTCATTGTGATATTAGATGAAATTATTTGTAGCGCCAAGGGCGGATCTACGTGTAACTTGGGGGAGGCCATTGTCACCCCAATATTTTTTTTATTAAGTATATGTAAAATTATATTTTTCTATTGATCCTCAATTTAAATAAATAAGTCAAGGCTTTTATAATCAACAAGCTTACCTTAAAATAGAGAATTCAAATAAGAGTATCAGTAGAAGAATCTGCACAACCATCCTAAATACTAATTATTATAAATAATAACTATATCTTGTAAGTTTTTTATAAATACGCTTGTACAGAAATTAATACAAGGAATAAATTTAATATACAGAGCACTTAAGATATACAATTTAATGTGGTGAAAATATATGATATATGCTTATAGAAATTTCGAACATGAAAATTTTCTTTTATTTTTCTGTATTTTTATATTGTACAAGTTCGAGTCAACTATTAATATGTTCCATATTTTGGAAAAATCAAACAACTCTAATTGCTAGCAAAGTTCGAAAGTACATATTTTTTCTATTATATTCAACGTTGATTTTTTTTTTTAAAAAAAAAATTATATTGTCTACCGCCTCCCCCACTAAAATTTTCTGGATCCGCCCCTATGTAGCCCGATTATTGTATTAAGATCATGATTCATATTGCATTCAATATGAGCTCGATTATTGTTCTAAGTCTTGAATTTTAATTTCTTAATATTTATTTAATATTTAACATGTTCTTAAAATTAATAAAAAATTTAAAAAATAGATGTCCTTATCTATTTTTTCTAAGCTAACAAAATCCTAAATTTCCTAAGTCTAAGTTATGCCTAATAATTTCATAAGTGTCTCAGATAAATCCTAAGTTATGAGCCAATTATATCAATTGGGAATTTTATAAGAAATCCTCAGACTACCACTCGGCCCTTTCATTAACCAAGCCCAAATAAGTTTATGTTACAAGGCCCCAAGATTTCTCCCATATTCAGCCCATCTTCTTCATTTTTTCGAGCAGCCCTCTCACCAGATTTCCGGCGACGAGAAGGCCGTGCGCGCCGGCGATCCAAGAGCACCAGGAACCCCGATTTCTGGCGAGGAGATTCGAGCGCACCCCAGTCCATCAACTACCGGCGGACCCGTGTGCAGCCAAGATTCCACACAGCCATAGTCCGGCGAGCAGCTTAAAAAATCTCGTGGCTGGAACAAGAATCAGGTGGCCGGAGAACCATCAGCAGCACCAAAAATAGAGACATTTGAAGCCAAAAACCGAGCCACCTCCTTCTTCCATTTCAGCCTTCAGCAAGGTATATGGCTGAACCCGAATATAACCCTATGTTAGCCGGGTTCGGTGGTTTATGATGTTAAGTTTTCATATTAAAAAGAAGAACAAAATCATGCTAAAAGACAGTAGAAATTTATGAGAAGAAGAGGAAACACATTAGTATTTTTGCCTTGTGTTGTATGAATTCTTGAACTGTATTCTTATCAATTTTTAGGCTGCCTAATTGTGTTTAAATACAGAACTTATGATCAGTTTATAAGGCCTTAGAGAATTATGAAGAATTCATAAGAGGAGAAAGCATGATGAATGGTATTTTTGCCTTGCTTTGGTAAATAGTTGTTGAACCATTTTTTATGAGTATTATGCCGAGCATGTGCCATTTTCAGTGCTGTTATTTTCAGTTATAAGCCTAGGTTTGTTGCTATGTGAAGTTGAGAAAAAGAAAGAGAAAAGAAGGGGCATGTAGTGCTATTTCGAGGCTTTATTTTGCTATGTTCTGAACATGAGCTTGGAGCCTGTTTTCATGACCTTATATGCTGTTATATATGCTTTAGTTTCAGAGGTGTTGCTTACAGTTTAGAGGCTTTAAAATGGGCTTGAAAGTTTTAAGATAAAGAAGGAAAAAGGGAAGGTTTTGTTGCATGTTTTTGGCCTCGTTTTTGTTGTATGTTTTGTTGAACTTTTATGTGATTTATACGCTGTTAATGAGTGAAGTGCATGGGTCGATTTGAAATTTCAGATATTTTGGCCTGTTCACAGTACACAACTTCTGCAGCGGCAAACCCCTCAATCTCTAGGCAGAAAGCAAAAACCCGACGAAAAACAAAAGGTAAGTAAGCCCGGTTAAATATGTCAAATCAACCAACGAGTTCCAACGAGCCCGTGAATCAGCAGACGAGAAAAAGGCCTTTGGTGGAGATTGATAAGCCGACGACGGTAATGTGCACGGTGGTGGCAATTGATCACACAAATCTGTGTTACAGAGTTTGCTCCGTCTGCGAAAAGACTCTTCCTGAGAATCCTGAAATTACTTGCAAATACTGCACCTTTAGCAACAACTTCAACCCTACCACTTCTGGTTCCAAGCGGCTCTTTCGTATTCTTGTAAGCTTTCTTCTGATTTTTTTGTTTTTTATTTTTTTTTTTAGAAAGGGAAATGTTGAAATGTTAGGAATTAGCTTTTATTCTGGTTTCTTCAGAGCTGGTATTGTAAAGCTTTAATTCTGGGTTTTTTGAGACGATGCAGATTAGCAGTCATGTTGATTAGTGTTTTTTTTTTTTGGAGAAAATTGCAAAATTGATCATGTATGAATTAAGGAATTGCATTAGTATACTTGTGGCTTTCGAAGTTGAGACAATTTGCCCTAGGAAATACAAAGGCATCTTCTTTTTGCGATTTTAGTTGTGTAGTTTGAGGACTTTGCAAATTTTCTATAATACTTGGTGTGGAACTTTTCTGTAGTATTTGTTAGAAATTAGAATCACTAGCTGTTCATTTGATTTGTCTTCCAAAATGAAGAAAAAGTTATCGTCGTTGTACATTGGCTTTCATACGGAAATGCGTATTCTAAATGTTCCCTCCTCTCGGATAATTTATTGTTAGTATAAATAATACAAAATGTTGGAGCCGCAAGTAAACATGGAATTGGTTCCGACACCCTTTTAAACTTGATAATATATATGGTGCAAATGGCATTTTGGGAGTAGTTGGAGTATTAGAATAGCTTTCAGGTTTTCCACAAACTTAAATAGGACCAGAATTGTGCAAACCTAAAATCCACGGGACCAATACTGAATTAAGATCGCAACTGCAGAAGTTACAAGACTAATATTGGGACATCCTTATAGATATAGCTTGATTTTGTATTCTTGGTGTTTTGTCTAGTATAGAATTAACTTTGTTTTACATGATATAGATTACAGTAATCTATGATGCTAAAATATAATTCTTTTGTTTTGTTTTGTCATTTTCTTTTTGGTATTTGCAGATGTCGATAGCTACAGATACAAAGGTGTTTGTGGTGATAATGTTTGACAGGGCTGCCAGGGTTCTGTTTGGTTGCTCGGCAGATGAGTTCTTTGATTTTGCAAAGACCCGCCCTTATGCTGGTGTGCTTCTCTTTGTTTTCCTTTTTCTATATACGTATAAACTCCTCTACATTTTGTAATAACAAAGTGGTTAGTTTGGTGATGTACGATGTTGTTGATACACTATTATTGTGCAGCCATGGCAGCCGGTGAGGCATTGGAGGGGGAGATGTTGGCGGTGACACTATCAAAGCCGAAAAATGGTAATGCACAGCACATTCGAGTTGTATCTGTTGTGCCCTTGCGTTCTAATTTTCAACCGGCTATTGTGACTTTAAGGGAAGTGTATCGAGCAAGAGGAGCTTCATCACAATCTCACTAATGACTTACATTGAACGACAGCTCTAATGGACGCACTATCGTGTCCGAATGATGTGATGATTCTTGTAATGACCATTTCTTGTGTAGTGAATTAAGCAGTCAATATTTGTCGTGGATAAATATTGACGTTGTGATGAACATGGTAGCTTTTAGACTGTGCCTTGTAATTTTTACCTTTCTACCTTTATGTGATTTTCTTTACCAAGATTTATAGTCGTAACATTTTGTGGTAATGTTAATGTTTGGAGCAGGGAAACTGTGAAAATGGTAATCTCCAAAACGATTGGCACATAGGCACAGTCAGATGATTCTTGCGCTAAGTGTAATATTTGTAATGACTTCGTGTCCAGAAAAATAAAAAAATAATAATAAGGAGAAAATAAAAAATAATAATGTAATATCTTGACTAAGCTTTAAGATGATTCTTTTTTTGAAAACCCTAAGATTCCTTTCCTTGACACCTCTCCATTATTATTTTTTCAAATTCCGCTACTTCCTCCGAGAACGACCACCGCTCCGGCAGGGACGAACCTCTCAGTCATCGTCCTCAACTTTCCGACGGATACTTCACTCTTCTTCTCGCTCCGTTGAGGAGATTTATCAGGTAGTTCCCCTCAACATGCTCCGTCATGTCGATTCCGGTGCTCCTCATCCTCCTTCTCAACCTTTTTGTCTGATCGACGTATCAGATGAGGACGACCTTGACCATATTCCCCTTGTCCGTCGCCGTCAACCTGCTTTCGGCGCTTCGGATATCGATGAGGCAGCGCTCAACGAGGAAGAGGATCATATTTTTCTTTCTCGACGTACCGTTAGGCCTCAGTCTGCTGTTCCAAGCACCCCCAAAACCAAACATTCGATCGCTTCTCTCTCTTCTTCCAAACCAACCAAAAAACAAGCTACCTACGAGCTCTGTCCATGTTCACCAAAAAACCAGAAAATCTCATTCGACCTCTTCTACCATTGTTTGGTTGGACTTGGAAAAATTTGACCATCTTTCCTATTGGCGCTTCCGTAGGCCCAACCCTAATGATACCTATGACAATCTTCCGGAATATTACAATACCTTTTTTGATATCCAATTCACTATAGGCATTTGTTTTCCTCTTTGCCCGGAGATCATCGAGATATGTAACTGGTTTGGTCTCCCCTTAAATCAACTCCCTCCCAACGCCATTCGCTCTATTAACACCTTCATCATCCTCTCCCATGTCCGTCTAGGTTGATTCGACCTAGACTTTTTCCATTATTGCTATGTACCTTCCAGGCAAGCCAACGGGCTTTACCTGAAGAGTCGAAATGAGGCTCATTTTATCGCCGACATTCCTTCTAATGTCCCCAAGTGGAAACATAAATTTATCTATGTCGAGCCCAATACTTCTTTCCCCTGGGAGAATACCTCTTAGCTCAAGGAACTCATGTTCAGGCTCGAAAATCCTTCTCCAGAACCTCTTTTCGACCAGTGCATCAGCGTTCAGAATTCTAAACCCGTCACTTCGAGGACTCTCCTCAAAGATTCCAACCTTTTACATTTCTGTGGGATGCTCAGTCATAGGAATTTGTCTCCTTCCACCAAGGAAGTCCTCGACTCTATTCGAGTAGAGGGCGACCCAGGTAATGTTCGATCATTGTAATATACTAATGTGTTCTTGTGATCTTGTGCAAAGATGCCTGCTATCCCTCTCCCCAAGAGGAAGGTTCCTCTCAAGAGGAGATCCTCTCAGGGCTCGGCCTCCCAGCCATCTGATTTGGCCACGTCACAACCTGATTTTTCGACCTCTTCCAAAGAGCCCGACATGCACATTGCTCCAATCCAGGAGCCCCTGATTGATGAAAAAGCTCACGTTCCTCCTCCGAATCCATCGGTCGAGTTACCACCACACCACAACAACCACATCAACAAGAACAAGAACGACAAGAACCAACCCAACAAGAACAACCCCAACAGAGCCACGACCAACTTCTCCCACGAAAAGCTCGACCATACCCGTGGTGGAGTCGTCGCCTTCCCTAAATCCTCAGCTGCTCGAGGTGGGTCGAGATAAGCGTCCCCATGCTGAGGAGAGCGGAAGAAGGGATAAATGCCTCTGACTTACAAAGATCGTGGATGCCTCTCTTAATCCTCTTCCATCGTTGGCCAAGGCTAGTGAGGAGGAAATTGGCCCATCTGAAAGGCACAGTTCATGCTGCTGACCTCGAGCTTAGCATCTCAAATCTGAGGACTCGGTGTCAGAGTCTTGCTCGATGTTGGCGCATGTAGCTTCCACAATTTCTCCTCTATTTTACTTTTCCTTCCCTTACGTAACAGAGTGTTCGGAGGTTCACTCTGATCTAGTTTGAGGAACTCAAACAAGAAAACCGCAAGAGAGTTGTGGTCGGATAAGTAGCGGTGTGGATTATTGTTCAAGTAGAGTGTAAATCCTTGAATAATGGTGGAGATATCTACATTAATGAAAGATATCCGAATGAAGAGTGAGACGCTCTCCTGAAGGTTCAACTTTGAGAAGCACTGCTTCCGCAATTTGTTTGAATCTTCTTTTGTTCTGTTTCTATAAATTGAAGTAACTCTGATAATTTAATATATCAATATCAAATTTTAGTAAACAATTTGAATAAGCACACTTGGAGTCGCCAATTGGTTAAAGATATTTCTCTGCTTAACCAATGTGGTATTAGTACGGATGAGGATGCTCCTTGGATTCACGATCTTAGTAAGTCGTCATATTAGTATCTCGAATTGTCGTACCTTTGTTGTTGTACTGTGTGGAGTAATGCTCCCCTACCCATGGTGGGCACATATTAATGTGCCCACTGCTTATGTGGCATGCACACATTGGTGATGTATTTTTTGAACATATTAACATCACCAATGTGTGCATGCTACATAAGCGGTGGGCATATTAACATGTGCCCACCGTGGGTAGGAGAGCATTATCCGTACTGTGTGTTTCTTTTTCTGTGTCTTATTCCTTATTCCTATCGGAGATAACTATCTTAATAAGTTCAAGACCATGAAGCAAAAGCCCGAGGGCGGTCCCTCCAACCCTTCTCAACCCTCGCAGCAGAAGAAGCCCGAGGGCGACTCTGAATCGATTTCAAAAGCGACAATGGTCAAAAAGACTACTGATCCCGTCGCGAGGATCGAGAGTCCTTGAACCAACTTGAAGTCCGCCAAAAACCCCTCGGGATCTCACTCGCGCAAGAGAGCTCCTGATCACCAGGTTATCAAGCTCTTGCTTGATAATGTCAAGCTCCAAAGGGAAAAAGAGAAAAAGGTCGTGAAGTCTTTTCCTTCTTCCATCTAGGTCCGTCTGGTCACTCTGGAGCAACCCTCTCGTCTCCACAATAACCTGGATGCTCATGAGGTTGCCGAGTACCTCCTTTCGACCTTCCCCGAAGCCGATAAATTTTGTGTCGACGTCGACCCTTACGAGAAGGCTTGTTATGCGACTTTGGTCCTACCAAGGGTAAAGCTCGTCTCGACATATTTCTTTATCTTATCGGGATTTATTTATTAACTTTGTATTTTTCTTCTTTTACAGCTTTTCGCGTCTATTCTTCCTTCTACTAGGGAAGAGACGAGAAGCCTCGCCATTGCAACATGAAGGCCTTGGTGGAAAAGTATCATGCCAAGGTAAAGGAACTCAAGGCCGCAAGGGCCGTGATTACTGAGCTAAGGGCCGAGAAGGCGATTGGTTATAAAAAAATCGAGAAAATGAAGGTTGACCTCGAGAAGGCGAATGACGAGGCTATGGCGGAAAAGGAAGCAAGGCTTCTCGAGAGGCGCAAGACCTTCTTGAAATATTCGATTGGTTCTGTGTTCCTCGAGACCCATCGCCAAGAGGTCATCGAGCAGTACAACAATTCTCTTGCCTTTATCGATATGCTACGCCCCGCGGCCATGCAATACTTCAATTTTAGTTTCAGTGCGTGGAAGTTGGCCTTGGCTGGATTGGCCTCCGCTAGCAAGCTTGATCGCGAGTAGGTCAAGATGACCTTGCCCTTTCTAGACGGATTCTAGGGTGATCCAACCCTTCCTCCTGCTCATCCTTGGTGGGCCGGCCTCGAGGATCGGGCTATCCAGAGGGCAGCGCTGTTTGCCCAACTCGAGGTCCCTCTAACTCCTTTGGTTGGTTCGATCGAGTTCGTTGCACCAGTGGAGCTCATCAAGAGGAGGTTGTTGATGAGCTATGGAAGATGAGAAGATCGAGAGGAACGAAACCTCTAGGAATGAGAAAACTGAGATGATTGTTGCTGACGACGGTGTGAATGATGAGAAGCCAAATTGTTGATTCTTGAAGAACTCTTGTTTTAATTTTGTGTAAAGTTCATAAGACCTGAATAATTCTTCTTATGTTTGCGATGTATGCTTTTTGAACGCTCGTTTTGTTTAAGGTCGAGACGACTTGTTTTGAATGTTTAGAATTCTATTTCAATTATCAATATATTATGGTTTGATTTTGTCTTTGTAACATAATGTCGTGTATTCATCTTCAACTGTTTTCAAGTCATGATGCGATCGTATTAGGTTTTCTGATGTTCGCTTATATAGTGATTGCGATTTTCTGAAATCGCGGTAGTTTGTTTTAAGTCATGGTGTTCCCTATTTATCGACTTCAACTCGTTATACATTCTTAATCATCTTGTACTTCTGACTTCGAGATTAATATATATTCATAACATTTTATTTTTACCTAAGTACGTCCTTGCCCAACTTAGCTTGCGAGCTATTCAAAATTGGAATCAGTGAGCAAGTTCTTAGCAGCTTCATAGTTGCTCGTTATTTAGAAAAAAATTTAACGCGTGACCTCGCCCACCCAGCTTGCAAGATGTTCCAAGTTGGAATTAGCGATCGAGTTTTTAGCAGCTTCATAGTTGCTCGTTATATGGAAAAAAAAAAATTAACTTGTGACCTCGCCCAACTCAGCTTACGAGCTGTTCAAAGTTAGAATCAGCGAGCTGTTCAAAAGGTGTTGTAACCTAAGTATCAAATATATAAGATCCATACGTAGAATCATGCTAATATGAGTAAGTGTATCACATGAAAGGATACAATTGAGAGACATATTCTAGTAGAAAACGTGATATACACGTCTCTTTCCTAGTAACGGAGTAGTGTGCAGAACAAAGATAACCTCCTTATAAAAATAGGTTCTCATGTTCTTGTAAAGTATTATGCGCCACATACTCATCTATATAAATATAAAAAAATTTGGCATTTACCTAAAAAAATAACTATTTTCCCGCCTAAACAATTCAAATTTACTAATCTTGGTAATTTTTTTCACATTTTTTTGAAAAATCCCGCCTTTGCATCATTAAATTCGAATTTTAAATTTTTTTTATGTAAATGTGGAAGTTTTTGAATGCTTCACTTACATGATTTTTTTCCATCTAAAAACATAATTTACATATATTAAAATATTAACAAAGATTGTCTTTCCGTTTCTTAATTTTATGTAAGGTGCACTTAATATAATAGAATATAAACAAAAATTAATTTTTCATTTTATTTTTTTTTAATACGTAAGCTTAGTTTTTTTCCGTTTATAAAGATTTACTGCCTTTTCGTTTCTTAATTTACATGATTTTTTTACATATAATAGAATATAATGTAAGTTTCCATCTAAAGACATGTTTTATAAAATTTAAAATTTTATATAACATTTTCAATAAATTAATATAGGTAAAATGTATTACATATTGATTCCATATTTTTAATTTATAAATGTAATTTAATGAGTAATCTATATCTATGTGGAAAAGTTTGGTATTTACCTGAAATATTAATTAAGATCCCGCCAAAAATTTAAATTTACCTTTATTAGTAACTTTTTAAATATTTTTGAAAAATGGCTGCAAATCATTTGAAAATAAAATTGCAAAATCAATGTAAGAAATGTACAAAATCATTTTGGTCAAATATTGCGGGTATTTATCTTTATTGGTTGAGTATCTAATTTTATAGAAACAATTAAACTAACATAACTTTTTATGATCAAAACCAATATCCTGAATCTAAGTACTCTTTCAATTTTAAACAGTACATATTAACATAAAACTATGATAATTTAACAAAAGTGCAGCAGTCCTATAAGATTGTGGAAATTCGGTACAGGCTTCGATAAAAATCGTGAATGTAACTTACAATAAATAACGAATTGATAGGGATAAGTATCACTGAAAATGTCATCAATATAATTGAAAAATAAAAAATATATAAAAGTTATTAATATATACTTTTAATAAAAATTACTGCCTATAATAAAAATAAAAAGTATATTGTGTATATATTGTCTATTCATAAAATATATTAATAAAAATATAAAAAAGTAAAAGGAAAAAAAGTGTTTCCAGAAATTTGACAAGCCTCTCTACACTCTATAGTATGTAATCAATTTATTTAAGTCATACATATCCTAAATCATAACATATATTGATATTATATAGCCCAGAACAAGTCATATGAAATCTTTATATGTATGTTATATGATAAACACCAACTATTTTTTATTGCACATATGTATTTACATGTTATATGATCCATCTAACTTTAATTATTAATTAGAATATTATATTTTTTTTATTATATGATTCATAGATATAATTTAAATAAATATTTGTACAATAAGTTGAGAATAAACAAAATTATTCATGTTAATTGATTTTAACTCATTATTTTAAACACGTTAATAAAAAAAGGTAACAATCTAGGATTACTATTAAATATTTTTTTTAAAATAAATTATAAATATATTCAAATTTAACAAAAAAATATTAAATTATGAATTTTGATAATACGAAACTTATATAGATAAACATGATATATCATGCATTAAATTGGTTGATATCTTATCACAGTATCTATTTCTTTCCTTCTAAAAAAATGAATAATTTGATTAATTTTTAACAAATCAGTATTTGAAATTTTTAGCCCCACCTAGCGCACGAGTTTCCGCTTATTGTAATATCTCCTTAACAGCCATTCAAAGTGAATTTGGATATCTTATAAAGTTTTAAAACATTTATAATGTAATTCATCGTGTTTTGGTTCTTATACTACGTAGCGCAAATAATTTTTTTTGTTGCGTAAGCTATAAGAGTATATTAGTTTGTTAGAAATATCAAAATATTGGCATATAATAAAATTGGGTAGTTAATTTAAAAAAATTATCTTAATACATAATATATGACAATAAATTTTAGAACAAAATAATAGTTGAGTATTATAATGAATAAAAATAGGGTGATTTTATTTTGGTGTGAAATGTCCCAATTTAAATTGTTTGAATTTCGTTTGGTATAAATAAAATTATATTTGGAAATTTTGAAAATAAAGTAAGTGGTGTGAATTTATTTAGTATGTGTATGAAAGTTGAATTTATGGTTGATTTGTTATAAAATCAAGGTGATATGATTCTTAATTTTAGCATATTCCCATAATAACCAGCCATAAGATATTGATGATAATTCGGCAAATTGGTATGCATTCCTCTTGATAATTATAAAGATCTTTGAACAAATATTTGTTAATAAAATTTAAAATTTGTAATTCAATTGTAGAGAGTTAGTTGATTAATTTGAATGACAAGATTACCAACAACAAATCTAGAAAATTTTGAGGTTAGTAAAATATAAATATATATACATATATAAATTATAAGGGGATTATTGTGTAGTTCAAATTTGAATTCCTAATTTAAAATGTAAATAAGTAATTATTCATAATTTGCATGTCAATATTAACTTTGACGTAAATAGAATAATCAATTATTTATTGTTTAATAAATAACTCAACTACTTTAATTTATTGATTTGGATAGTTTATACAAAAATAAATTTATTTTAATTAATGAAACAATATAAATTTCAATATTATACTTATTATTCACATAGATTTTTAAACATATGAATTACCAAATAATTATTTTATGGACCACATTGTATTCAAATTGAATTTCTGAATAAAAAAGTTAAAATGACACTTATTTTAAAATGGATATAATGTAGTTTATTATCAGTTATGCCTACAGTACGGGTTGTGCACTAACTTTAAACAAACATGTTTAATGTAATTTTGCACAATTTAATTGATATAACATTTTAAATAACTTAATAAAGGTAAATTATATTGCATATTGATTCTATAATTTTAATATATATATTATTTAATGAGCAATTTTAATTTACCAATATTAATAAAAATATCTTACCCGTGCATTGCACGGGATTTGTACTAGTATTACTTGAATATAGTTAAAAAAATGTCAGATCTCTAACTTGAACGTCGAAGGTTTTCGTCTCGACCCCCTCGTAACGTATTTTGCAGGTCACAGAAGCTTGAGTCGAAAGTTGTTTGTGACATCACTAGTCTAACTCAGGTTTGAGGGGAATTTGCACATCAAAGAGTATTATGAAATTAATCAACTGCCAACCATTTTTCTTTATTTTCATAAAGTGTGAATGACTACATTGCTATATGATTTAATTGTATATTTACAACGCAATTAGAAGTGATTCCTTTTAATAACATCTATTTCATAGATGTTCAATAATCACATTGATCATAGCTCACATTCTCAGAAAGTAATATCTGAAGCTACATAATCATTTACTAAAACCACAAATATCTAATACTGTAACATTATTCCACACAATCTGATATTAATTTTCTAGGCTCATCGTTACATGGCAAAGCTACCAAAGTCGTTCTATATTATAAACAGAACCAACTAAAACATAAATGTACACTTCACAAAGGAGAGTTTCATCATGATTCAACCTCATCATTTACCTCATTTGGAAATTTAAGGTCTTGATGCAATAGGCGTACATGAAGGCGAAAAAAACCGCAAAGCCGACAAGCACGGCCGCAACCGGGCCTTTGAAGTCGGGATCGTACCCAAAATGGCTTTGAATGTACGATTTGATGGTCGGTTGTGTGTTCATCCCAGCCACACTGATTGTCGTTTGGACATCGCCATATTGTCCGATGATTAGTCCGTAGACTGTCCATGCCACCGGGCAAATCCAGTAATACCATACCCACCACTTGGGGATTTTCTGATCATCCAAGAGCATGATAAATAAATTTTAGAACATGGCACATGTATGTGTTTAAGGTTAAATATGTAACATATTACAGGATAAAATGCAATTTTAGCCTTACTAGATTATGAATGAAGGTAACAATTTAGGTCTCACGGGTGTGACATATAACAATTTAAGTTCTCTAATTTAATATTTTACTGCAATTTCAGCCTGTTAAAATTTTTGATTTTGACGGTCAAAAGATGTAAAACTGCAACAAAATTTTAAATTACAGAACTTAAATTGCTAAATGAAGTCCACCCCAAATATATAAATTGGGAATTTTGACGACCAGAGGAGTGAAATTGCAGTAAAATATTAAATTACGTGACTTAAAAATGCTATATGTCACTTGAGTGGAACTAAATTGCTTCCTTGACAAAAATTGCATATTAGCCCATATTACATTCTTAAAACAGTTTAGTGAAAGAGTTGTAGGAATGTCTGTTATTAGTTAAATCGAAGTTTTGGCAAAATTCTAGCTACATAATGTTCATTTAGAAGCACAAGTTATACACATCATTTGAGAGTAAAGATAGTAACTTACGGGCCTGGGGATGAAGAAGCCGGAAAACAGATTGAAGAGCGCGTAAAAAGCGGCTGCAAAAATGGCGGCAACTTGGTGGTTCGGTGTGATGGACACAGTCATCATCCCGTAATACGTGAAGTAGAGGAACGAGAAAAAGGTGACGAAATAGAACCAGAAAAATTTAGCTGCCGTCCACTCGAAGCTCACCATGGCATACACGATTATGGTATAGTACGTCGTCTGGATGAGCACATACGGTATTTCTACAATGACCTGCAAATTAATCGAAAAACGCGAATCAACTCTTAATCGTCTATATAGATTTTCGTATATGGGTCAATCTAAGAATGGATTTACTAACCTGTGCAATGGCATAGGGTAGAGCAGAGTACATTCCGGCAGCCCTTTCTCTATAGAACACAGTTCGTTCGATGGCTACAATGGGTTGAACCGTCGAACAATTATTTATCCCGACAAACAGTACAGAAGTATACATGGCGCCTATGATCGTCAAAAGATCCGTGTCCGTGTTCCTAAAAAATCCATAAAGAAAAAAAAGTAAAAAAATGTAATATTTAGTAAGTTGACAACTGGTTTTGAGGCCTCTTGTATATATTTTGAGAAAAAAAATGTACGAACTTTTGGGTGCCGACTCGCCAGAAGATTGTCCCGACAAGGAGCGCGCAAGCCAAAGTGAAGAAATATCTGACGAGATTATAATCGGGGCTCCTCCAATAAGTCCACCATTGTTTCCAGAGGCAGTACTTAAATTGTCCCCAAGTGGATTGTGAGTATTGAGTGTTGAAGTACAAGTCTTTCGCCCCTGGAACCGGTATACTCAGTTCTTTCACTAAAGCGCTGTTTCGCCTGAAAATAGTTGAATCAAAAGAGGTTAGAAGTTTGTTGCACTTTTAGCCAATAATTTTCTGACTCCCTAAAAGAGTCAATTTTCTTACTCGTATAAGGCTGTTGATTTGTAGTGTTCGGCAAAATCAATCCCGAGTTTAGCTTCCATGGCCATCGAGCTAGCTTCAAGCATCCATGTGGCCGGATTATACTTGTCTTTGATTCTTGGAACACCAGGAATCGCCTGCATTTCACGAGACATAACAATAACAAGTCCCATCATTTTTCCATACTGAGGTGTCATTTTTTATAATTTTTAAAAAATCGATTTATGAACTACCTCAAAGTACTCGATGATCTTCTGCGAGTGCCGGCCCAAAGGTCCCGCATAAATCACTTGTCCTCCCCTTTTCATCAGAAGCAACTGCCCCACAGCACAACAAAAGGTTTTAAACAAACAAAGAAAAGTACATAAAACTTTCATACTTATTAAACATAACAAAATGAAATTAATGTAATATTACCTCATCAAAAGATTCAAAAATGTCGATGCTCGGCTGATGAATGGTGCAGACCACAGTCCTGCCTGTATCCACCGTGTTCCTCACAGTCCTCATTACTATAGCAGCCGCACGCGCATCGAGACCCGAAGTCGGCTCGTCCATGAATATTATCGAAGGATTTGCAACGAGCTCCACAGCTATGGTCAGTCTCTTCCTCTGCTCAGTCGACAATCCCGTGACTCCTGGTATCCCGACAATGGCATCCTTGAGATTATCAAGTTCCACTAACTCCATCACCTCATCCACAAAAGCCTGTGAAAAATTAATCGGTACGGATAAATCCAACAGTAATTTACCGGTTTTAGCACCAAACGAATCCTTACAAAAAAAGTAGAAAATTTGCTTACCATCTTTTGTTCCTTGTTGACTTCCTCCGGAAGGCGGAGGCACGCGGAGTAAATCAGAGATTCTCGTACAGTCACCTGAGGCGAGTGGATATCGTTTTGTTCACAATACCCGGAGATTCTGGCAAAAGTCTCTTGATTTTTGGGGAAGCCGGATATTCGGATATCGCCCTCGATATAGCCTCCGGTTTTTCTTCCCGCCAAAACGTCCATCAGTGTGGTCTTGCCGGCCCCACTCACCCCCATCAATGCCGTTAGGACTCCGGGCCTGAATGCGCTCGTCACCTCACGAAGAAGTTGAAGCCTCTCCTCTGTCACTCCTTGTTCCTTCATTTCCTGTCCAAAACAGAACAAGTTGCCATTCGAAAATATTAAAAGTGTTTTCTTTTAAATGTTTCTGTATTTGCAATGCACACAACATAATATTTTTTTTCTTTTTTTACCGGTGGCATGTCGACATAGTAGTTGACATTATCAAAGGACATGGACAAAGGCGTGAAAGGCAAAACCATTCCCCTCTTGGGTGCATTTCCTCTCACGGTCCCGAGGCTCGAGTTTTGACTTCGGCTCAGTCCGTAGACACTTGAAAGGCTGCTCATACGTTGGATGGTCATCTCCGCTAATAACAAGAAAAACAAAGATAACAAACATTCCTCATTAATCAATTAGCAAACTATGCTTGCTTAAATAGTCAAATGATACTAATTAATTTATGTTCGTGTCTTAATTGTTATTTACTTGTGTTGTTCCCGTCATCGTTGGACAAGGATCTGCGGAAGGAATCTTGTCTCGGGTTTGTTGTTCTGAGTCTCGGGGAAGCATCTGCGTTGTCGTTTTGGTTGGTTTCCATCTCCCTTGCTTGCTCTTTCGATATTATGGCTTGTGGCTTTCCAAGAGCTGTTGCGTATAGCGGAAAAATAATAGTTCTCATATTAGAACACAAACATGAACAAAAAAAAAGGTTCAGAAAGTGTTGGAAAAATATTGCATTTGCTACCAACTTACGGTTAAGATACATGAGGGCGAAAGTGAAAAGAACGTTGAACAGTAGCGTGAACCCGACAAGGGCACCAACCCCTATCCAGTACCAGTTACTCTGTGGGAAGATATTAAAGTTGTTCAAAATGGCCACTCCCAATCTAGTTCTGTTGTCCGAGGCCTGCACGGGACCAGATATCATATTATGAAGTTACTTCATTTTAACCAAGAAAATATAGAAAACGAACACAAAATGTTACTCGGAAAATGCAGACTAGACTTGAGGTGTACCAATTTGTTCATCCATCTCGTAGCGAACATTTCGTTGACTGCAATGGCGTTGTATGCATAGGTCAGAGGTGAGAGCCAGTAGCCCCAACCCCACCAGTCCGGAATTTGGTCTGCGATTGACAAAAAACGAAGTTCACAAAACTCACTTGTACTTGTGCTAAACGATAATTACAAGTTGGAACTGTTTGTTTAGTTAATAAAGTCGAAAATGGAGAGCGTTAGCTCGGCATTTTGTTGAGGGCAGCTTACTTTTCGGAAGAATAAAACCGCCCAAAAGGAACACGAGCAAAAGAGTTAACGCGCCACCGGTGTTAGCAATGATCATTGTCCTGCATATTCCGGCTATCAGCCTGAATATCCCTGCCGCCATTTGCTGGATGACGAATATCAGCAGGAATTGCTTGAAGAACCTGATGAATTCGGAATCCAAATTTAGAATGAAAAAAATCGAAACTGATTAAAAAAAATATATATATATATAATAAAGTTCATTTTTTGTTTCCTAAGTGAAGTAAAAAATAAAGAACCTGTTGGGCTCAGGCGCGAATCCAATAGTATAATAAGTGGTTACCATCCACACAACCGCCTCAAAAACCGAAATCGGAATCCTCAACAGAAAAGTCGGCAGCGTGAAAGCCCAAGCCGGATGAAACATAAGGTCCCTATGCTTGTAAAAAACCGGAAGCCTCTGTATCGTGAGCGAAAGCTCGGCAAACCCGTTAAAAGTGTTGCATATCATACTAAACAGAAGCGCGCCAATATAAACGGCTCCATCCTGTTCATTTCTCGTGTGCATGTTGGTTCGCAAGAACAGAGTCGACGTGATAATGGCGACTATGAAAATCTGCACGGTTTTGAAAACATAGACGAACGAGTTTCTCTTTATGAGGAGCCACTCTTTGTCGAAATTGGCCTTGAGAAGCTCCCGTTTGGGTACAGAGTATTTTTTGAAGACCAGAGCCGCCTTGTGAGACCTGTCCTTATCGTAAGGTACGGAGAGCTCGTTTTCGAGACGTAGGCCGACGTGAAAGCGCTTGAACCTCTGAGCAAATTCCGAGACCGGTATGTAACGGTAAGGTTTGGACCGGTCGGCCCAGTATTGCTCTTGATCCTTTCTTGAGGTTACCTGTTTTTATGCCAATTTAGTTTTGTTAGATTGTTTTGGTAGTATGATTTTGTTGGGTTGGGTACACCCACAACAACACGTGAACGCTAACGTAATTTTATTATTATATTAATAAAGCAATTATATTTGATCTATTTTTAGGTAGCATAGATCACATAAGGATTGTTTACTTACCTCTTGCAAGAAATCAGCAGTTCCTTTCCTCTCGGGGCACGTGAAGCCGCAGGTTTGGAAGAACTCGACCACATGCTGGCGTGGGCCCTGATACACGATCTGGCCTTCGGACAACAAGATGACGTCATCGAATAGGTCAAAGGTCTCGGGTGCGGGTTGGAGGAGGGACATGAATACGGTGGCCTCGGTGAGGTGGACGATCTGCTGCAAGCACTTGACGATCTGGAACGTGGTGGAGCTGTCGAGGCCGGTCGATATCTCGTCCATGAAAAGCGTCTTTGTGGGGCCCACAATCATCTCTCCTGTGTAGTGTAGTGTAGTAGTGTACACAGTTGGAAAAATATAATCAAGCTAGGCAAGTGTTTATGAATGTGGTTCGTAACCACCATAAACTAGCTAATAACTTATTTGGTTAGTTTACAAATGTAAACTAGCTAATAACTTATTTGGTTAGTTGGGGGGTCTACGTGCAACTGACCCCCAGACTCCAATCTGTTGGGAATATACTGGGTATATTGATGTGATGTGATAAACGTTACGTATAGAAAGTATAGAAATAAGTTTGGTTTGGTAAGACAAACTTTTTAAAAAACTTCAGTTTATCTCATAATCTTCTTTGGATAACTTTAAAAAAAAAATCTGTTAAAATTTTTATTTCAGTTGACTTATCAACTAATTTTACCAAATAATGTTACCATATCAACTAGTTTTTCAACCGTTAAAATTATGTTTTTTCAAAGGATACATACTTCATTCTAGGTTACGGTCCGTTACGGTACCATCCCGTCGGGTGTTTTAACCATTGAAAAAAACCCGACAAATGATACCGTAACGGGACCATCCGATAAATCATTAACATATATATAATTTTTTTTTAAGCAGAAAAAATAAAATTTTGGTAGAAAGATATAATGGAAAGAACCTGTAGTTACACGCTTTTTTTGACCTCCTGAAATGCCTCTTATCATTTCATCACCAACAATGGTGTCTCTACACACATCAAGTCCCAATATCTGCAATTTTTTTCATTTTATTTTTAATTTAAATTATAGAAAAAAATAAAATTAAAAAAAAAAATAAAAAATAGGACGACATCAGACTTCTGTTTTCAAACCAAATGGACAAGTTGCTCACCAAACACAATCCAAGGTCCACCTTGATGGCCCACACCAATTCTAAACCTTAATGAGTCATGTGTGGGCCCAGCCCAAAGCCCAACAACAACCCCTATGATGGTTGGTGAGCTGAGATTTTTGACCCAATTTCAACAGACCAACAAATCCTTTTATAATTCTTTTTTTTTTTTTATATTATATATTACTCCACTTTTTAGACCATCTTTATAGGACAATTGTTAAACAAATAAATAACTAAATTAGGAGATTTATTATAAACCTATGTCTCAGATATTTGTTTAGTTAACAGAGGACATAATTAAGGAAGATGTTACGGTCCAGTTATAAAACCATTCTGTCAGAGTTTGTAACCGTTAGATCAATTATCTCTGACGGTTACATGATGATCTAACGATTACAAAACCCGACGGAATGGTTTCGTAACGAGATCTTAGCATTTCCCCATAATTAATTTATTCAAAAGTTGAGAATTCTTAATTTGGAAAATAACAATAAATATAAATACACAATACATAAAACATATAAAAATTTTCATTATGGTCTAATTTACCCTCAAAGTGTAATCTGTAATAAGGCTGCTCTCCACACCCTGCATAGCAGTTGCCTGTTGGAGCAAAAATAGCAAAATCATTAACTTAAGCAAATAATACTTCATCTCATGTTAGGCTTGTCTAATTATTGAGCACATATTATTTTCAATAAATATTCATAATTTAATTAGAAAATATCTTATTTTAACATAAATAGAACAATGTCATTAGACAGTATAAGTATGCATTTTGATTTGCAAACATGACGAGTCGACTTGCATAATTTAATTCGAAAATATCTTAGTTTAATAAAATAGAACATTGTCATTTGACAGTGCAAGTATGCATTTATATTATTTACAAAATATGACGAGTCGACCTACATAATTCAATTAGAAAATATCTTATTTTAACATAAATAGAACAATATCATCTGATGGTACAAGTATGCATTCTTTATTTACAAAATATAATGAGTCGACCTGCATAATTTAATTAGAAAATATCTTATTTTAATAATGAATAGAACAATGTCATTTGACAGCACAAGTATGTATTTTTATTTTACAAAATATGACGAGTCAGACCTGCATAATTTAATTCGAAAATATCTTAGTTTAATATAAATAGAACAATAATGTCATTTGACAGTACAAGTATGCATTTTTATTTGCAAAATATGACGAGTCGACCTGCATAATTTAATTCGAAAATATCTTAGTTTAATATAAATAGAACAATAATGTCATTTGACAGTACAAGTATGCATTTTTATTTGCAAAATATGACGAGTCGACCTGCATAATTTAATTTGAAAATATCTTATTTTATTATAAGTAGAACAATGTCATTTGACAGTACAAGTATGTATTTTTTTTATTTACAAAATATGACGAGTCGACCTATTTAACGATTGGACCTGTTTTGGAATTTGTCATTACCTTCATGAAAAGATCAACTTCTGCCTCAGGAAAAATTCCAGCTGCTCTTTCTCTTCTTGCAAGCTCACTCAAAAGGTCTAATTAAATCAATTTTTTAAATCATCAAAGCCCAAATGGGATTATAAAAATGAAATTAAATAAAAAAAAAAAGATTATTGTATATATAAAAAGAACTAAATTAAGATTAATTTAAATACCGTAACGTGATCCAACCCCTTGGCACCTAGCTGAAAAATCCAGAGTTTCTTTCACAGTCATTTCACCAACATGAACGTCATTTTGGCTTATATATGCTGAAGTTTTTTGAGGCACAAATTCATTAAGCAAATGCCCATTATACGTAATTTCCCCGCTTTTCTGTTACAAAATAAATAAATAAATAAATAAATTCCCCTATATCCTTCCTCTATATATTAATCCAGAACGCGTTGAGCCTACGTGACTGCTTTTGGTGCTTTGAAATCCTATGTGGCAAAATTACATGCTTCGTTATTAGGCTTGGGTAAATTTTAATTTAATTCCAAACCAAAAATAATTAGGTTCGGATTACCATAAATATGTTAATTATTTATGGTCATGTTACATGTATTAATTGCATTTTAATATCATTCCTTATTATAACTATTGAATTGTATATATATTTTAAAAGTTAATAACTTTTTGTATTTTTTATCAGTTTTACATATGTAATATATCAAATTAATGTTCTTTTGATGAGCTTCGATTTAACATCCATATTGTATGTATAAAAAAATAATTTATATTTATCTTTATAACAATACTAAAATTATTTTTAATATTAATTAGAAAAATAAAATTATTTATCAACTAATATATTTATATTTCAAGTAGTTATATGATATAAGTTATAAAAACTAATATAATTTAACACATGTAAGTCATAAGTAACACATATCATTCTAAAATATAGTAATATATTTTTTTTGTAAAAAAGTAAACTAAATTTAATATAGTTTTCTCATTAATTTTAAAATTTAAGAATAATTTTTTAACAAGCACCCGTGTTGTACTAGTTAATAAATAAATAAAAATAAATAATTAATACTCACACTCTTAATTATTTTATAATTTATAAATGTGACTATACACAAAAATAGAAATTAATAATTCATATATTGTCTAATTTTACTCAGTGCCAACTGTCTCTAAATTCTATATTTAGATATTATTTTCCTAATAACTATTCTTTTTCTTCTTATATTTTAGTCATTTTTTTTTTTTTTTTTTTTTTTTT